CCGTCTTTCGAGATAGTCGGCTGGTAGTTGTTCATTTTTATGGAACTTTTATTGGGTACCAGTGCGCTGAAACTTTCTATTAGTACGAAACTATGTTTTGTATGCGGCGATATCAGCTTATGTGATTTTCTACTTGTTCTGAATGTTGATGCCTAAGAATCTGTTTTTTTTTTAAATATTCAATATTCACGTCAGTTACTAAAACGTCATTTTATTTTGACACGTCGATATAACCGATAAAAAACTCAGTCCGTCCATATTGTCTCGTTTGAAACGCCCTCTGTCTCGGCCTCCCCAGACCCTGGAGCGGAACCGGGCGCTGCGCCGTCTTCTCGGAGAGGACGGCGAGAGCTCGTACTCGGCGTTCGGTAACGAGCGTACGCTGCTGCGCCAGCCGCGGATGCCGATCACCGAGCGATTGGAGACGCTTCGCGCGTACTGCGAGAAACACCACCCGGTCGAGAGGGCGGCTGGGGAGGGGTCGGTGTCGGCACAGGACGCGCCGCCGGCCGCCGCCGCGTAGGGACGGTGTGGGGAGGGTGTATGAGTGGGGGGGGGGGGGGGGAGAGTGTGGGTATGTTGATGAGGTGTGGGTGTGTATGTGAACTAAAAACACGTTTGATGGTTGGTTCAGACGGTGTTGAGCTGAAGAGAATCTGAACGATTGGAATTCGGACGTCAGTGAAAGGGCTGGGTGATTTGGTCCGATCTGCAGTGTGTTGCATTGTGCTAACGGCGATTTATTTTTCATTTCGCCATGCCCATATTGTGTGCTCGGTTGTTATTCGTTAATGCTGTTGATGAACTGACGTGCTGGAAGTTGGAAGCTGTTCTTTTGCCGCCGATGCGACTAAGTCAATGCAAGGCTGGTGAACATTGCGTCGTTTTTTGTAGTCAATACAGTGATGTGGATTGTGAATCAAACTGAAAGGCCAATTTCTGATCGCTGTTGCCGACAACAGCGTCAAAGACATTTACAAGGGCTGTATAAGTGTATAGCCTGTATATGCTGTTTCCCAGTCCGTATTCTGTTGTCACCGAGCCCCCCCCCCCCCCCCCCCTCCATCCCGTCTACAGCAGTTTACGGTAGAGGGGAGTTTATCGTCATGTGGCTAATGGGCTGACTGACTGGGTACAATGTCCGGTCTGAAAATAGGTCACAGACCCGGCGGAGGTGAGAAAAGGATCGGTTAGTTGAGAGCAGGGCTGCGGAGTCGGAGTCGGAGTCGGTCGGAGTCGACAGTTGTGACCGGAGTCGGAGTCGGAGTCGGAGTCGATTTTAGAAACCCGAGCCGAAGTCGGAGTCGGAGTCACCGAAAATCTGTCGACTCCGCAGCCCTGCTAGGTCTGCGGAGTCGGAGTTGGGAGTTGGAGTCGGTCGGAGTCGAGGTCGACAATTCTGGTCGGAGTCGGAGTCGGAGTCGGAGTCGCCGAAAATCCATCGACTCCGCAGCCCTGGTTGAGAGGGACATGCTACAGTTCCGCCCTCTAGGCCGACCCATTGTAAAAGGTAGTCTTTGCCAAATTGCTTTGTATTTCTCGCTCACCCTCACACACCACCGTGCGGTCCCATGGCTCGGACACGACTCCCCCTCTTCCCTATCCGGCGCGCCGGCATGGCCCCGAAACTGGGACGAACGGCCGCCGGGACCGCTCCGACACCAGATGTGCCCTCCGTCCACACCGGAGGGGACGGGGCAGACGGCGGCCGGCCGACGCTCCCCGCGGCGCCGAGGCGACAGCCTCCAAAACTCAACTCTCACACTACACCTTCCCCTGATTCTCAAGAATCAACCACTGAAATTTTAACACAAACACGCACACAACCAGCCAAGCAATCCTAAGCCATTCTCTTAAACGCTCCTAATCAGGACGCATAATGTCCACGTGCCTTCCCCAATCATTTAAGAATCTTTTTTACGTGCAGCGCCCGGCATGAAGAAATGCGCTTGGCCAGGCTCGCCAATTTTGTCACGGACCACAGATGCCACGAAACTACCAGCTCTCTCATTCAACCACTTGCCCTCTCCTGTCCATCAACGGCTCACACAAAATCAATTGGTCACCTTAAATCAAATGCACACAAAAACCACGAGCTCACAAACAATCAGACACTTATTCTAAAAAGTTCCGGTCACTGCCACCACACGGCCCTCCTGTGGAATTTCTAGTGCAGTGCCGGCGACTGCCACCACACGGCCCTCCTGTGGAATTTCCATTGCAGTGCTGGCGACTGCCACCACACGGCCCTCCTGTGGAATTTCCATTGCAGTGCTGGCGACTGCCACCACACGGCCCTCCTGTGGAATTTCTAGTGCAGTGCCGGCGACTGCCACCACACGGCTCCTGTGGAATTTCCAGTGCAGTGCCGGCGACTGCCACCACACGGCCCTCCTGTGGAATTTCCAGTGCAGTCCCGGCAACTGTCACCACACGACCCTTTTGTGGAATTTTCAGTGCAGTCCCGGCAACTGCCACCACCTCCACAGCCCACCGGCTGCCACCACCTCCACAGCCCCACCAGCTGTCACTCCCACAGCCCCACCAGCTGTCACTTCCACAGCCACACCGGCTGTCACTCCCACAGCCACACCGGCTGTCACTTCCACAGCTCCACCGGCTGCCAATCCCATGCAGCCCCACCGGCTGTTACTCCCCACCGGCTGCCGCTCCTCCACAGCCCCACCGGCTGTCACCTTCACCACTGCGAGCATCACTCGCCAGCGCACTAACTGCGAGCATCACTCGCCAACACGTTCACTGCGAGCACCACTCGCCACCACCCTCACTGCGAGCATCACTCGCCAGCGCACTCACTGCGAGCATCACTCGCCAGCACCCTCACTGCGAGCATCACTCGCCAGAGCATTGCACAGAGCGGCCCAGCCGCTCAGTGTCCAGTTAGTCCAGCGGCACTAGGTTCTTCTGCCGGTCGCAGTCCACCTCGCCGTATCTGCCGATCCTCCCGGCCGGCTGTATATGGGCCAGTCCAGCAGCAGCCACCGGGACAGACGTGGTGACGGGCGGGGTCCACGGCAGACGCCACGGCTCCTGGGCGACCCCTGCTTCTCACTGCCTCGACAGCTCCGTTGCAAGTCGTTGCAAGCGGTGCCGATCACTGCCGCGTCACTGCACCATCGCTCTCTTCAGGCATGTTGCCGAAATAGCTTGTAAAAGGTAGTCTTTGCCAAATTGCTTTGTATTTCTCGCTCACCCTCACACACCACCGTGCGGTCCCATGGCTCGGCTCGGACACGACTCCCCCTCTTCCCTATCCGGCGCGCCGGCATGGCCCCGAAACTGGGACGAACGGCCGCCGGGACCGCTCCGACACCAGATGTGCCCTCCGTCCACACCGGAGGGGACGGGGCAGACGGCGGCCGGCCGACGCTCCCCGCGGCGCCGAGGCGACAGCCTCCAAAACTCAACTCTCACACTACACCCATTTCACAGCAAAACTCAAGCCATTAAAAAAAAAATACCTATGCCCGAAACGCTGACAAAATTAATTCATTATTCATGGTCCAATATCCCCTCTCGCTCGAGTTATTGGCAGCATTGCTAGATAGATAGCATTCCGAGGGCTGTCATGGGCTGGTGGGACCCTGGCCCTATCTTATCGTCATCATCGCTATCGACGCTTTTAGATCTATGCTGGCGACCCAGGCGACCAAGATTACTTCAGGCGACGTTCTTCCCGCAAAAAACTTCACGAATTTTTATTTCCTTCATGTTGTGAAGTTTTTTTCCCGACCCTATCTGCGGCAGGTGGCGCAGTTGCAAGGTGGCGCGGCTTTTGAAAGGTAAACAAATTTTGTGCTCTGTTCGTGCGGCGTGTGGGGGGAGCATTCCGGTCTAGGGGTAAGATACTTGCCTCTAGATTCGGCCATCCGGGTTCGATTCCCGGGCAATGCACGTGGCATTGCCGCTACCTGACCGCTTGGAACAGCGTGAGAGTTCCGGTTAGCACCTTGGTCCACTGGATGTGGTGCTTAACCCAAAACCAACCAACCAACGTGCGGCGTGTGCATAGCCAAGGATGATTGATATAGATTTGATGTCAATCAGTGGTACCAATCTTGAAATGTCAAAACATGTTTGTTATTTCAATTTCTTATTTTTTTGCAACTTCTTTTTTGTTCTTTTCCATGCATGCCTTTCAGATGTATCTCAATCTAGTGAGAAGTGAGAGTGTTGTAAATTGAAATAGTCAGAGAAGTGTCAAGTTCATTGTTCAAGTGGCTTGTAATTGTACTGTAGGCTGGTTTGCAAATAATTGATCAAAGACCAGTTTTACTGACAGAAAATAGCAGCCTGCTGATTTTTTTTTGCCCAAAGACAGCTTCACATACGGAGCGTAAATGAGATAGGCTAGGCACGTAAGACGTAAGTGGATAGGGCTTTACGGTTTGTGAATCATCTCCGTATGTGAAGCCATCTTTAGGCAAAAAATTCGGCAGGGGGCTAGGTATTTTTCTGTTGGTAAAACTGGCCTGAGCAATTATTTTCTATTTACTCATGTAATGCAATGCAATAATGCATGCATGCTGAATTATTCTGAGCTCTGTTAGCCCGGTGTTAGGTTTAATTGTAATGGAGGGATTGTCTCACCAATTGTTAAGTAAATTCTCTCATGAAAGATATACCCACTCCAAAGTCCAATCTCCAAATGAAAAGTTGCTATGTTTCAGATTCAAGTGCCAGCATGAGCAACTAAGGGTTACTTGTATCTCAATGTCTTATTTATTTATAAATGAGAGTTATGCCAGAAGGCCTGCAAGCTGATGATGGGTGAAGAATGTACAAGAGGCATGACACAGGCTGGAAGGTCACAGAGCTCTGTTGACCTCTTCATCACCAAACTAGGCAAGTGCTCACATTTGCTGATGCATGCATCAGCTAGATGCATGCTTCTGAATGCATTAGAATATATGCATCTGAAGATAAAGTCTAATAATATATGTTGAGTTTATCTTACTCCATTTCCATTTACTAGAAATATGACCTACCAGGTAAACATCCAAGTATGCATTCTCTCACCCTGCAGGTTTGGTGACCTTTTTCCTCCCCCAGCCCCTGAACTCACCCCCCACTACCCCCAGTAACACTACCCCCTCCCCCCCATCAGGTCACCATCTGCTGGAGATCCGGGAGCGCGCTGCTGACTCACTGCTGAGTGCCGTCTCGCTGGGCCTGCTGCCATCCCAGCAGCTGGCCGAGCGGCTGCGCAGCCAGCTGCTGCTGCCCGGCTGGGAGGGTCGACAGCAGGCGCTCCGGCTGCTCGACCAGATCGCTAACGTATGTGGGAATGGGCGGTGTCGGTGTGGTTGTGATATGGCGGGCGATGTCGTGACTGGAGCTGTGAATCGAAGTTCCCTACGTTTGTTTGTAACGATTTGTTTTGCTGAACTTCAAATTCGACGTCTTCAGTTTGGAAGTGCTGTTTTCCGGTTGTTTGCTGATAAGCTTTATTTTGAATTTGATTCTACATAAAAGATTGACAATTGACACAGTAATGCCCCATTCATGCCTCATAATGTTCATTTCTCTCAGAAGGGATCTATCAATGGCGAGCGGCTCAGTCCGGAGCGGCAGCACTCTCCGGTCCGGCGGGTGGGTGGGGAGCGCTCCCCACTGCGGAGGGTCGGCGGGGAGCACTCCCCGGGGAGTGCCGGACGGCAGCCCTCCCCCATCAGGGACGGTCCGTGGCGGACGGCCTCCCCCGGCGGGGACCAGCCTCACCAGGTGAGCAACTGAGCAGTCGGGGAGGAGGTGTGGGGCGGATAGTGCATGATATCAGGCGGAACCTGGTAGGGTTAAGGTGCGCTGATAAGGTTTGGTTTGCCTTCTTCCGTTTAAGATTGAATATATTTCTATTCACTTTTCATCTCTTTTTTTTTCGTCCCACCTCGAAATGTTCAATGAATGATTGTGCCCACCGTATTTAACGCAATGCAGCACATTTCCTATAAATATCCATCGCATTTCCCACCATCATAGAGTAAGAGCGGTCGCCGTCTTTGATTAGCGTCATTAAGTTGTCACCGTTTCGTAACTCGTCTGCTCATTCTGTATTCCAGATCGGGGATGGGCCCGACCAAAAGTACGGTGGAGACTTCATTCCGGTGCTGTTCACCCCGGATGATAATGATACGGCCGGAATGGAGGACAGGTCAGTTTGACAACTACTCGAACAAATACAACAAAGTACAAATGAATGATAATACAAAAATGCATGTTCTCGTCCTGATAAGCATCAATTTTACTGTCCAATGACAGCATCGATTTTCCTGGACAATGAAACGTAAATGTCAGCGATCTGATATAACAGTCATTTCCTTTCAGAATGTCAGTAGCTAGCTCGGAGAGTGATCAGGAGGATCAGGATCAGGATCAGGAGCCACCGGATGAGGGGGACATTATTCACAGTCTGCCCTGGAAGGTACGCTGTTCTAAATTCCATGCTCGATCTTTGGTCGGGTTATGGCCTCCGTTGTGCGAGTCTTGGTTGTTCTGAAATAAGATATGTTTTTAGCTGCAATTATCGGATATTTTTAGCTAGATGGCTATTTGCTTTACTTGGGTTTGGTGTTCACGGCTCGCCTTTTCATTGGGCGCAAAATGACCTTGTAGTCGGCGCGCCCTTAAGTCCCAATAAACAAACAAACTCGCCTTTTCATTGGGATACTTAATAATGTCTTTAATATTTGAGTGATACCTCGTTGACGTCACCTCCCCGTCCCTCTGCCAGAGTCTGATCGGGTCTGATCTGCACGTGCTGACGTCCACGGCGGCCTCTCTGACGTCCGGGGACGGCCGCGCCGTGCGCCAGGCGCTGCACTTTCTGCACGACGTCACCCTGAGGGACTTCCCCGCGGAGGTGTTCCTCCAGCGGCCCGTGCTGCTGCAGGTAGCTACCGAGGACGGGTTCTGAGATAATGCATCATCAAGTTTCTGTTTTACATTGACCTTCTAAATGTACCACGCTTTAGCGTCCATTCAGGACCTGTACCTATTACCGGCTAGTTGGGTAGCTGTGTTCACTACCGCAGGCTCCCCTCATCACGTAATCTTCTTTAGCACGTGCTCGTTATAACTGGCCGTCTCCTCGGTCAGGCGGTGTTCCACGTGCTGGTGTCCACCGACGAGTCGGAGACGGACGTGCTGCTCTCCTGCCTCGAGTGTCTGACCGTGCTGACCGAGACGCTGCTGCACCGCTGTGACATACTCAGCGCGCCCGAAACTCGCCAGCCCGCCACTCTGGTGAGACAGCTGCTGCAGGGGCGTGCAGTGTGGCCTGTGGGGTGGTCCTTACCGTCTAACCGGGCTGGGTAATCGTACTGCAGTGTGTGAAACACTCATGCAATGATAATCTGCTGAGTCTTGATTGCTATTCGGTATTCAGCTGCTTCTTAGTCGTTTATCATTTTTCTTCGCTTTGTTTTTTCTTCAGCGTTTTCGAAGTTTCGGTTATCCTGAAGTCTTATTTGTCAAGTCTATGAATGGGCTCATGATCCTTCGATGGTTCCATTACCTACATGACGTTTTCTCCCTCTAATTACTCCACCAGACCGCGGACCTCTCCCTCTGCTCACCTCCTCCGTCCCTCTCCCTCAGACGGCGGGCCCCACTGCCGAGGAGGCGGCCGGCGCTCTCTCGCTGCCGACGTTCTGCGGACAGCTACTCAGCCAGGCGCTCAGCTGTCTGTACGTGAGACACTGGGCGGTCCTGGTGGCCGCCGCCCGACTGGGGGCCGCCGTGTGCCGGCTGGGCCGCCGCGTGGTACCCGCCCGCCTCTGGGCCGCGCCTCAGGGGGAGGCCGAGCAGAGGGCGCAGCAGGCGCTCATGAAGGCGCTCAAGGTGGGTAATGGAGGCGCTAGGGAGATGGTGAGGGAAGAAAAGATGGCCGAGTGGGATGGTAGCTGGAATATGTAATTGGTAAAATGCTTTGTTTATGCTAGTTTAACCCGCGACCGCCTGGGGGGGGGGGTCGGATCCGACCCCCCCCCCCTCCGTTTTTCTTAAATAACTCAAGAACCGCTTACGCTATCAACTTGAAACTTGGCATACCTTCTCTCCCATCAATTTGACGTGTTCTGTGCAATTGTTAAGAAAAAAATTTGAATTTTTTTTTAGATATATCGATTTTAGTGATGTAACTACATGGCGTTTTTAGTCAAAAAGTGTTAAATGTTTAAAAAATCGCCAAAAATCAGGGTTTGAAGCAAATTGCAAATTAAGGACATGAATAGACGCAGCTCAACGAGTTCTTTAAAATGGCTATCTCGGATTTTCCATAAAATGCGTTTTTCACCCCTAAAAATTCAAAAAACTACATTTTTTGGAAAACAGCTAATAAAATCCAAAATTTTGAGAATTTCCAAAAAACCGGAATATATGTTATAGAGCTCTATTAGAACATTAGATGTCCCAAATTTCAACTTTCTATCTTGATTTTTGACCCCCAAATTGTAAAAAATAGCTTCAACATGCATAGGGCATGGTGACGTCATAAGCATTTTCGTGAATTAGAGGCACTTCTGAACATCGCATGTGAAAACAAATGACACCACTAGATTCCTGGGACAAAGCTCGTCTAGAAAAGTGCATTTTTATGTCAAAAATAAAAAGTTGAAAATTTGACCTTTTTTCTCAGCCCTCGTTTAGTTATGTATGGTATAAACGATTTTTTACGCTTTCAATGCACACTTATCACCAGCACAGTGACTTGGGGTCACATATAACCATTACCATCGGATTCGGCGTGAAAAATAAGCCATAAAACATGTGTCGCACGCCCATGTAGCAGAAAGTGAAAACCGTGACCTTTCGTGACCTGACCTGACCTTGACCCGTACTTAGTATGACCCCTATACGCACATGGTACCTTCACTAGGCCTTTGAGGTCATTTTTGGTGAGTTTCGAGCAGCAGCTATCGATTCCGCTGTCCGTAAGCCTAATCATGCAAAACCCCAGAATTTGACCTTTGACCTGACCTTGACCCGAAAGTTGACCTCAATCTTAAAATCTTAAGAGTGCTTTGGGAAGGTCTCGTAGAGACCTCTCGAACGCCGCCTCGCGGGGCTCGATGCGACCATTGGTTCTCGAGATAACAGGGGGGGGGGGTCGGATCCGACCCCCCCCCCCAGGCTGTCGTGGGTACGGAAATAGCCCAGGCGGTGCCGGGTTAATGGACTTTTCGTCCCGCTAAGTACAAGCCAGTTTCGATATATTCATGCTGTTGCTTGTTGTTCTACACGTTTTCCGATATTACTAGAGTCCATGAGCGAGCCGTCGTCTCACACCGGCCGTCCTGTGTCCGTCAGGTGTTTGACGAGGTGCTCCGCTGGCACCACAAGTGTTACCGTTCGGGGGAGAGCGTCCACCTGCACCGGGCCGGCTGGCTGCTGGCCGCCGCGCTCCTGGCAGACGCCTGGGCCTCCCTCCGACCTCCGCCCGGTCTCTGGGCCCGCCGACACCGGCTGCTGGCCGCCCCGCTGCACGTGCTGCTGGACGAGCTGCTGTTTGCGCAGCAGCCGGCGCTGCACGCGCGCCTGCTGCGTCTGGTCACCGACTCCGGCTGCGCGCGGCTGTGGAGACGGCTGGAGCGACTGCGCTCGGCCATGGAGGCGGCGCGCCGGCTGGCGGACGGTGGTGGACGGGAAGACGCGCTGGCGGCGGCCGCGGCCATCGAGCTGCACGGGGGCCGAGAGCTGGTGGAGAAGGCGGTGGCGGCCGTGTGTGAGACTCCGGCGGCCGAGGGGACGCCGGCGGGCCGGCAGGAGGGGGCTGAGGACGGTAAGGAGGAGGCTGAGGGTGAGGAGGAGGAGCGCGCCGGCGGCCGGCTGCTGCTGCGGCTCCTCAGCTCTCCTGTGCCGGCGGTGCGCTCGGCGGCGTACCGCGGGGCGGCGGCGGCGGCGCGCGCTGCGCTGAGGGACGCCGGCCGGCGGACTGTCTCGGCCCTCCTACAGCCGGCGGTGCTGGAGCTAGCGCTGACGGACGGGTTATCGGACCGACAGATCGAGTCGGACGCCACCGACCTGGTGCTCTACGCAGTCACCTCGGAGGCCTGGGTGCCCCGCCTCCGGCCCGTGCTGGTCGCCGCGCTGCCGCTGTTCCTCTGCCACGTGACCCGCCCACAGCTGACGCGACCCCTGAACCACGTCATCGGACTGTGTCGCGCCGAGCACCTCCGCAGTGACCTGATCCTGACAACCCACCGGAGCCGCGCTGTGAGAGAGGACGCCTGGAGTCGGATTATGTCGCGTCTGTCCGCGCAGAACGCCACAGTCGAGCTGCTGCCCGACCTGAGTCAGCTGGGAGCGCTGGACCTGGCGGAGCTGAGCCTGGTGGCCGAGCCGCCGCCGGTGGCCAGCCGCCGCGGCGAGGTGAACGACGTGCTCACGCTGACGGCTCTGCTGCCGCTGGCCTGGTGCGGCACGGCCGCGCTGGACGTGCGCCGCGCCACGCTCTCCCAGGTGGCGGTCCTGCTGCAGGACCCCGACTTGCACCGCGCCTTCCTTGACCACGACGGCCTGGCGCGCCTGCTCAGCAGCATGACACGCGCCGTGCTGCGCGAGCCCGACCTGGCGCACGACATCAGCCTGCTGCCGGACTGTGTGTCGGCGCTGCGCCACCTGGCACTGTTCTCGGCCGGCTGCCGGCACCACCTGGGGGACGATCCGCAGCTGCTGCTGCTGCTGGTGCGCGTGCTGCTTATGTTCCGACTGGACGAGCGGGTGCGCGCGGCGGCCGCCCAGCTGCTGCTGGCCGCCAGTCTGGACTCGGCGCTGGTGTGCCGCCGCCGGTCCGGTCAGCAGATCTGGGAGGTGCTCGTTCCGCCGCCGATGGACAGCGCTCTGCGGCTGCCGTTCGCGGTGACGGCCCGCCGGCGCCGGCCGCTGGGCCGCGCTCCCGGCGAGCTGCCGCCGACGGCGCTGACCGAGCCGGTAACTGTGTGTGGGGAGCGGCTCAGTGTGGCCGGTCTGCTCCGCACCGCCTGGAGCCTGGCCTGGCACGGCGAGCTGCGGGCCGCGCCAGCGGCTGCCGAGTACAGCCAGCAGCTGCAGCTGCCCGAATGGCAGCTGGCGGCGGCCGAGGCCGGGCAGCTGCAGCGGGTGGCGGCCGACACGCTCCGACACCTGGAGGGCGTGTGCTCCCACACGGCGGCGCGGGTGCTGCTCTCACAGTTGGGCTGCTATGTGACCCTGCATCGACATACGGGCGATGCGGACAGGTGAGTCGAGGGGCCAGAAGGCTGTCGACTAACAGCTTATAAGCAACAGTCAATAAAATCAGCAACATCCAGTCAGGCGGTTTGGAAAGTTCTGTTTGGTCACAAGTCCTTTATCAGTCTGCAAGCCTAATCAATAAAGTCCCAAAGTCGCAGTGATTCCGACTACTTTGGTGCTATTTCTCGTTTGTTAAATGGCTCGTCCCGCAGCATCTATACCACTCGTAATGACGGCTCGACGACCTTTTTTGCAGCACGCCCCGTCCTCGCACGCCTGTCTTCTCACTAATCACACCACCGTCTCTCCCCGCAGTGACGGTATATTCTCGTCTTCATCCGTCGACCGGTGGTTGTCTGTGCTGCGCCGTCACCTGCTGACCCCTCCCAACTCCGAGCCGGACCGGCGGGTGCTGACGGCCGCCCTGCAGCTGCTGCTGCTGCTGCCGGCACATAGTCACCTGCCAGACAGGTCAGATCCGCGCCGGGTGGAGAGGAAGGGAAGGAAAGGATATTTCTTAAGATAGTTTGTGCTCCGTCTCTACGGAGATACAAAATACAAATGCCGGCATAGCTGGAAATCATGCTTATGCGTATGAAAAGCGATCGATGGTCTATTATTCGACCTGCCACAGGTTCTTCAGCGAAGTCCACTTATACCTACCAAAACCTTTTTCAAGGGATAGTGTCACAATTTTTGTAGAAGTTGTGCACTGTTGTGACTTGTGGTAACCATTGGCTGATTCCTTTGTCTGCGTGTGCCGACAGGGCGGTGACGCTGCTCTCCGAGCACAGTCAGGTATTTACCGACTCCCTGGTCCGCGCGGCCGACCACCCACAGCAGGGTCAGCGGCAGACCGCGCTCAGAGGTACGAGATGTGGGAACCCAGTGGAAGATAGGGGGGATAATGGCACTTGGACGCTACTCAGAGGTTCCAGTGACAGTGTGGAAAGGGGCGGAAGAGCCACTTGAGTGATTGCAGATTTCGGCTCTCTTCATGGTTACACTTCGTTTGTTTCCGCCTTCTTTTTGAGTTGATAATCATATCACTTTTTACGGTGACAGGTGTTTTTGACGAACAATGCGTTCAACTCGGTCCTCACGTCCAGTCACTGGCACCACCATGCGTCGTCGCTGACCCCATCTGACCGCCCTCCTCTCCCCGTCCAGCGCTGCAGCTGCTGGCGGAGCTCTGCTGCCGCTCGACGCCAGGCGCCGCCGAGCTCCTCGACTCCCTGACCAGCCAGGCGGTGTCGGCGGCGGCCGGCGCCGGCTCGGGGCATTTCTACAGCCTGGTGTCAGTGCAGCGGTGTGCCGCGCTGCTCCAGACCGCGCTACTCTCTCCTCACCCGCTGCCGGAGACCCTCCACCCGTCGGTGCGCCTGCTGCGGGACCTCTGCGCCGCGTTCCTGCCGGCCTCCGGTCCCGCCGACAGCTGTATGGGCGCCGGGGTGCTGGCGGCCGCCGCTCTCTGTCTGCCCGCCGTCACAGACCGGCTCTGCGAGTGGAGCGACTCGTGCGCGGCCGCCTGGAGCGCCGACGTGCCGGACGGCGGCCGGCTGCTGTGGCTGGCCGCGCTGTGGCACCACCAGGACACCCAGGTGCGCTGGGGCGGCCTGGCCGCCGCGCTGGGGCTCACCCGCTGGCCAGAGGGCGCCGCGCTGCTCACACATCAAACCAGACACCTGCCCGGCGGCTGCTGGGGCGCCTCGCTCGGCCTGCTGCTCGATGAGGGGGAGGCGGCTGCTGTCCGCGAGCAGGCTGCTCTGCTGCTGGCCAGTCTGACTGCTCACCTCCACACCAACACCGACACGGAGACGGACACCGCAGACCGATTTTGTGGCCCAGAGGTGGCCAACGCTGCTGCCGAGGTGTGTCTGACGGGTCCGGGCGCGCTGGTAACTCTGCTCGAGAACGCTGACTGGCCCGGCCAGCTGTCTCGGCTGGTGACTCAGCTACAGACGGGTACGGCCGCCGACCCCGAGCAGACTGTGACACCCGGCCTGGCGGCCGCGGCGCTGCGGCTCTCCCATAATGCGGCGGTGCTGTGTCCCGTGGACCTGGTGGGGCCGCTCACCGATACCGTTCACACGCTGCTCAGGTGGGTAAAGGGCGGCGTGGAACCAGGATTTATGGCTTGTTTATGGTAGTTTAAGGGAGGACGAGAGTTTGATGTGGGTAGCAGCTCCAGGGAGGATGGACTGAGATATGTAGATGCCTTTTCGCCTTTGGAATGAGATTACGGGATGTAAATGGTCCTGAATCACGATTCACACCAACCTTACATTCCCGATAACTTTACATGTCTAACCGGCCTCCCTCCGTCCCTCAGGTTCAGTGACGCGCTGGGTGTGGGAGGCGGCTGGCGCGGCTGGCCGCCCGCCGAGGTGGCGCCCTTCTGGACCGAGGCGCTGCGGCTGTGCTCGGCTCTGGTGATGCTGGAGCAGCCCGGTCGGCCGGGAGCCGCCCACCTGCTGCTCTGTGATAGGAGAGCGCTGGAGGCGGCGGCTGGCACGGCAGTCACCACGGGAGGTAAGGACAGAGGAAGTGGAATATGGAGGGATAAGGTGCGGGAGTTTGCGAAGATGGGCTCAGTGTTTTGTTTCTTGGTAGATGATTGACGTTTTGATGGTTCATGCTGAAAATGCCTCAAGTCAAATATTTGAAGCCAAACGGAGTATTTGCTTCGTTTTTCGCAGACACGGAGCTGTGCGAGGGTCTGTTCTGTCTGCTGCTGTCTCTTCTCTCCTCGGACCGCGAGCAGGGTTTCTCTGCGAGCGCCGAGCTGCTGCTCAGTTGGCCGGAGCTGTGGCCGGCGCTGGCCGCCGCGCCCGCCCTCCTGGAGCCCCTGCTGGCCACGGAGGCGGCTCGGCTGCTGCGGCTGAGTTCCGGCGCGCCGCTGCTGGCCGGCCTGGAGTCGGCCGGCGAGCCGCTGTGCGCCGCCCTGCTGGCCGGGGGCGCCGCCAGCCGCCGGCCGCTGGCCGCCCTCCTGCTGGTCAGCGCGGCGGCCAAACGGGCGGCTCTGCAGGCGCAGCTGCACCGCCGGCTGACGGGCCAGCTGCGGGAGAACATCGCCGCCCTGGTCACCGGCTCACTGAGCGTGCGCGCCGCCAGGAGCAAGGTCAAGGTCAGTCACTGTGCGGAGACTCTCGATTCGGATATGATTGTCAATTGGCACTCCTTCAGCAATCAGCACAGTCAATAGCTGTGTCGATTTCCCTCACAGTGATAGGCACTGCCGCCTGTGAGAGACTCAATATATCTTGGGATTTACTCTTCTTACTTGTCCATTCCATCCACTCTTATGCATTGACAGCTAATCTGACCTCATTTTCCCGTGACCCGACAGGAGCGCAGCCTGCTGTCGGACCTGGTCAGTGACCTGGACCTGCTGCGTAACCTGATGAGCGGCTCGGCCGAGGTGAAGCAGGCGCTGGCCTCTGACGGGCTGCCGAACCTGCTGCACAAGCTGTGGCCCTGGTGTGTCACCTCGCGGCAGCTCACCGTCACCGTACTCTGCACGCTCAACACGCTGGCAGCCGGATGCACCGAGGGTAAGGCGGGGAGAAATGGGTCGGGGTGACGAACGAATGCTGTTATGGTCATGAGGGTATGGGTGGTACCGATTTGTGTCTGCCTGTCAAGTCCAGTCCTCTGATGTATCTGGCTGATCACCAATGGTGTTCCATTTACCAGGCGCACGCGGGCTGGCCTACACCAGCGCGGCGCTGCACCAGGCGCCGTCGGGCTCTCCGTCTGGCGCCTCCCTGGTGCACGTGGTGCTGGACGACTGCCAGCGCCACCTGGAGCGGCGCAGCGCCGACAGTGGCGCCGTGCAGCGGCTGGCCGTCAGCTTCAGTCTGCTGGCGGCCGCCGCGCTGGTCCAGGAGGGACGAGCCATCATCTGCCGGGTCAGTCGCCGTCCTGAGTTCCTTGTACTGAAGCTTGACTTGAAGCACTCAACTCTACTTGACTTCATTAGCACGCTGAGTTCATCTTCCTTTAACCTTTGGCCAAGAGCTTCAGACTGTCTACCTGACTGTCTGTAAAGATCGTGATAAAAAATGTAAATGCACATTAGCATAAAGCGAAGCTGTCACCACTCACGGTTTGCCGGTGGTTACGCCAGCCCGACCCTTTACTCCCTTCCGTCTTCATACACACTGACCACCATGTGTTTCCTGTCCGTCTGCAGAGTTCGTTTCTGTCCGGTTTCCGGTTCTGGCGCGGCGGCTCGAGCTCGGCGCCCGCCTCGGAACAGAAGCGGCGCCTGGCCGTCACCCGGCTCTGGATGCTACTCATCAAGAACGTCACCTTCTTCGACGAGGGACAGAAGGTGGTGGCCAGGGTGAGTCCGGGGAGCGGAGATCGTGGCGCATTCGGGCTTGGATGAGGACAGAGTTTTGGCATACAGTTTTGGGAACAGTTTTTATGTCGAATTTCAGGATGCTTTTAGCACTCGGCTGTTCGTCTTGATTTTTACTCTGGAGCCGCAATTTCTATTCGCACTTCTCAATGCGGATCGAAGCTTTGTCTCAGGTCCCGGCGGTTACCGGCTCGTGATGTCTGATTGTCTCATTTTGTGTCCCGTGTCTCAGATCCCGGAGGTGACCGGCTCGCTGGTGGCTCTGATGTCTCAGGAGGACACCAGTCTCCGCTCGTCGGCCGTACTCGTTCTGAGGAACCTCAGCTACATCACTGCCATGCAGACGGCTCTCATCAACACCGGTAAGATGGGATACGCGACTCCAGACTTACTGTCGGCTGTTTGCTGCAGCTTATCCGTTGCTCAGTTAATCCGCCGTTTGAGGCTGTATAATAGTTCTGATCATGGGATGTTCTGATCACTGCTGTTAGCTGACATTTGCCGTCAGCCTCGCTAACTGCTGACCGCTGACTGGTGTTGATTGCTGATCTTTACATACTGTCAGCCTTGCTGCCTGCTGTCTTATCTGTCACACTGACACCGCCCCTCTGTTTCCCCCAGACGGCTTTGTGGAGGGGGTGGCCGCCGCGCTGGGCTCCGGACAGCCGGCCGCCAGCTGCGCTGCCGCCGCACTCTGCCTACAGCTACTCACCAGCAGCCGAAAGGCCCGGGCAGTGCTGACATCTACCGCACATCTGGAGAAGCTCAAGTCGGCGGCCGACTCGCTGGATGTCGCGGCGGACGAGATGTCGTCGGAGGTGTTCAGTAGAGTTCGAGACATGCTCCGTCAGGAGGGCCCGGGCCTGGCCGGCCAGGCGGGAGTGACGGCTGTATGATCTAACCTCGGTAGTGAGGGAATTCGAGCGATCGTCCGGGATGGTCCCGGCTTGGCGTGTGTGGCGGAGGGGGTAAATTGAACCACAAATGTTCGTAGAAAACTGCTGAGTAACGCTGATGGATGCCTTTCGGCGGCTCTGCGGTATTTGCACCGTGACCTGGGGGTTTCCTGTATGTGTATAGTGAAAACCAGCGAGCATTATGAAGTGAGCATTCGAACTGACGACACTTAGCGAAATGGGTTATAGCAAATATCTGTGATATTGCATCGTTCACCAAATATATTTTCGCAATATCCGTGTGTATACTGCAATGCATTCAAAAGAAATGCTGGACTATAGGAGCTCTATTTTCGTTATGGACTCATTGCAAAACAAGTTTGTGCTGAAAATCATCACGTATTTTAATGTGTAGATGCTGAATACATATCCCTGTAGATGCGTTTGTAATTTTGTTTCTAGGACGGTAAAATATCCATGATGTAGACGGCACTTGAAGGATTCGAGACCTCTGTTATGTTTAAGAACAATGTCGATTAGAAGCGCTGGCCGTTGATCCGCTAAATTGAGGCGTGTCTGTCAAGACTGCAAGTTTATGGGAGCATCGTCCTGTTCAAATAATTTATAAACGTGTGTCTACTCCATCCCAGACTTACATCACTGCTATCTTTCCGACAATTCCAAGCGCATTGATCACGTCATTGTCATGAAAATTTGGTTCAGGAAGCAGGATGCCCAATGTCCATTGCACCCATGACCCCATCTCTTTCACTTTAGGTCATGCATCATGGACGACGGACGTATATCGACCGACAGGCACCGTGTTTTATAGCCCAAATACAGAGCACTTCGCTCATTATAAAACCGATTGGTGAGGGTAAACACCAGCCCCCAGCGAGGGCATACTTACACAGTACACACTCCACATTCCACCTGAATGTGACCTTTCACCTCAACATCCATTTGAATATAATTGCCCCAGTTGATTGTTGTTTATCCGATACCGGGCTCTCCCCGTCTCTATGTGATAAATGAAAGGGTCCATCGCGGGACGCAGAGGATTCTTGTATGCCTACAGCACACGGGCTCATAATAGTAGGCCTTGGCGAATGGCGATTGGCAATTGTTGGCCTATTCCGGGTCATCCATTTTCTGTGTTATTGTGGCGTCACTTTCCCGTCACCAACTGCTTTGTGCTCTATGTTTCAGTTGCGGACCCTTTCGTCTTTTTGGCATCCTTCCCGCCAACCCATTTCGGCTACCAGGCGCTGCGGTACAGTCTATCTTCAGGCGCTGCGGTACAGTCTATCTTCAGGCGCTGCGGCACAGTCTATCTTCAGGCGCGCGCTTTTACTGCCATCTGTCGGCGAAAAGCGGCAAAGCATACCTTCGAGTGCTTAGCACTTTGTAGCCATAATGTGAGTCGGGTGACATTATCAAATATGCACATACATAATTGATATGTATGTTTGCGTTATTAGCTAGACATAATTGATAGTCTGGGGCGTTCCACGACAGATCGACCAAGCCATAACACCCTACCTCTCAGATTTTGATGAAATTGCGTGTATGGGGTTATCAGTACCGTAGATTCATAATCTCTTATTTTTAGCGTTATAGTACGAAGGGCTAACGAGTTATAGCCAGAGGCATTTTTCAAAATGCCCAGAGTAACCCTCTTTTAAACACGTATTATCAAAAAATATAGCCAGTAACCTACATTAATATGTATATCATTGGAATCCTCATTGACTGTAGAAAATTATCCAGCCAAAATATTTTGAAAATTTTCAAAATCACAAGATTTTTTGAAAAAATGAATTTTTGATTTTCGATTTTCAAAAGGTGGCCATTTAATTTTCGACAAAAATATTATGCCAAAAGATGCCTCTGGATAAGGAAATTTAATGACAAAAAAATTGGAGACATGTTTTGCCTTTAACTTTTTATATAATTTTTTGTTTACGACAATGTTTGTAGCAAAAGGGAACATTTGGTGATGCCTTCCAGATCCAATCATTCTCCTACCCACATTCCCTCGAACTGTTTCATGAAAATTAGAAATAAAAGCCTAGCACTCACACTCACACACCAGGCATGCGTTTTTTGAATGATTTTTGCTTCACTTTCGCTGTAGTTTCGAACATTGTTCAACGACGGTCGAAAAATTAATTTGAGCTGAATACTGATATCGGCTGCCTCGCATGTAATTCTATATGCTTCTAAGCAACTTGCACTGATGAAACGTTGCACTGGCGGATCCAAGGGCCATGCTCCCCCCTCCCCAAAGCCCGTTTGCCCCCCAAAAGGCCCGAGTTTTAACATTGCGCCTATGGCGGTGCATGGAAAGGAAGGGGCCATTTCGGCCATTTGCCCCCCCCCCCCCAAAAAAAACAACTTTCGGCTGGATCCTCTAATGAAACGTTAGGAATTATCAATATTGTGAATCGAACGTTGTGGCCGGACATACCATACACAACTTCCGTTCATAAGAGCCGAGGCTGTGTTAGAGTCAAATGAGGAGAAGGCTCTAGCTAGTAATCGCATGAAGTTCGCTCTGTCCTTTTAATAACGGACTTTCAGTAATTGTAATGAATAAATTTGCCACAAAAAAATATATGAGTACCAAAATGCGGCATTTGAAGGTAATTGATTTCAATTGCCAGGGGCGTGACCAGGTCAGAGTGGGTGGGGATGACAAAATTACAAGTACTTGAAAACTCGCCGATATTGTATTCTGTTTTCTTGGAACTGGAAGCATCTCTAACGTTTTGAAATTAATGCATTTCGAGGTAGTGAGTGGCTTGGGATGCTCCATGTTTCACTAACATTCACTTAAATCATAGTACTTTATTCCCACCCGGTCGAAGGGGAGGGTTTGATGTGCAGCCCCAACGGTTTTCTCGATATTGTTTGCAACGCTGTAAGGCTGGAGAGCTGAAAGTTGACATACTTCAACATTGATTTAATCCGAATCTGTTGACACCAACAGAACAGGCTGAGGTCAGCTTACTGACCTATGACGTCACAAATAAACCTAGGAATGATGCAAAAAGTTGCAGCTTTGCACTGTGCTCTCAGTGTAAGGGAACCTTTTGCAGGGGATGAAACAAGTAACGGCAGTAACGGCTTTTGAGATTCCACAACATCAATTCCTCCAACTTCCCTAAATTTTCACCCGAGGTCAAGCTGGTCACGTGACTTCACTAATATAAGTCAATGGGAAATATTGAAACATTGAAACTGTTATTTGGATGCCGAAAATGATCCAAGCCCATCTCAAACGCCTGTAATCGTAATTTCATACACTTTTGCAATGAGCGATTCTTAGGTTTGCATTGAGGACCTTGCAATGCGTCGTATATGCCGTTACTTTGTATGGTCGTGTGAGGTCATCGGTTTTCTTTTTGTCAATGACTGAATGGAATTTATCTAACGAGCCGAGTAAGCCACCAGTGAACTCAGGGAACCCTGCTGAACCGAATCATATACTTACAAAATACAATAGCCGTTTTCACGACGGTTATCTGACACACATTTACTGATATTGGATGGGATTTGGTCAAATTTGGTTCATAGCTGATTCTTAATTGTTTTTAGCTTCGGTTGCGCTAGTTGCTTATTGACCTTATTTATCAAATTATCAGTCGTTACTTTTTACTCAAACATTAGAATAAAATTACGTTATGAAAATAGCTGCAGCAAAAGATTTGGCTAGATTCGTCTGGTATCCGTCGTGAAAACGGCTGAAATGGCCTCATTTGACCAGCTTCTTGACGTCAGTGGTTTTGATGTGGCCTCGACCTGGGGAAAACATCTTAAGCTGACGTCTTCCAAATGTCTTCCAAATAAAGTTTTATCATTACGGGCAACCGGTGACCTCTGAGGTCAGGTCAAATGCCTTGACGCAGGGATCCAATTTTCGGTCAATAAATCCCCTAAATGGTCGCAGCACCGTCATTTCGGTATCTGGCAAAATATTTCAGGTCACGGAACTGGTCGATTGAGATAATATCTTCCTACAGCAAAAGTATCTGTCGATTCGACAGCTCATTCTCAGTACATTGATGTCCCTCCCCTCAATGTCGTCATTTTGTTAGGACTTAGGAATCTATTAATGAAAAACTCTCGACTCAATCAGCGTTAGTGAAGTCATACATGACGTTGCGCAAGGTCCACCAGCAAAACTAAGGCATCGGACCTTGCAAAGAATGCGTGAAGTACGTTCTCCCCGTAAACTATTGTTTGGCGTTTCGCAATAGTGACATTTTTAAGCATTCCTATAGGCTCACTTACGTGACGTCATAGTTCAGTAAAGTGACCTTATATGAAAGTTAATTTGATGTCACAAGATAAATCAACTGGATAAATTGTAATAACTTTCCGGCTTCAGCACTCTATCGCCAATGCCTCCCCAGCACTGTGATGAGAGAACCGTCAAAGGTGGACAGCATTCGCTCCCTCGGCCACAGGGGGCTAAACCTCGCTCTCTTGAAAACAATACGCCATTATGACGTTTTTGGATCTTTGGGTCCTAGCTTAGCATTCGTAGGTGTCTTAAGCATCTTTAAAAAAAATTAACAGCGTTGCAATGAGCTCTTGATTACATTTGACCGTACTCCGTTCAGACCGGTTGACAGTTATTGTTATTTTTTCCACTGTACAACGATATTCAATGTTGTATAGCGACCTTTAGGGGAAAAACATGTTTTTAATATTTTCATCATTGAAAGTCAATGCGTTGACAAGACTTTTGCTGCAGAAATAAATTGTAAAAAAAGATGGCCACGTTCTCAAAATTTGATTTTTATAAATCAATTTAATGTTAAAAAATTAAAAATCAACATTTTTCCAAAATAATCGATGTCACAAAATTCTTTGGTTAATTCTAATTGTGATGATATGCAGTTTTATATGAATCTAATGGGTATTTAGCTAAATATCTGCGGATGAAACTTAGAGTTTTTATGGTAGCCATTAAGTTGCCTGGGGCAATATCTCCTGAAGTGTTCGACGAATGAGATTGAAAATGTCACAACACGAATCGCCGGGCAAGATAACCCCATAGACGAAATTTCATCAAAATATGAGAGGTAGGGTGTTATTTCGCGATTTTTTTGGTCGATCTGTCGTGGAACGCCCCTCTGAACGAAAATCATTGTGTGTTTATGTTACGGGTCATATGCTAACTTGGGCAGTATGCAAACTACCCGGGCAGTATGCAAAAAACTACCCAACAGCCCGGGCAGTATGCATACCGCCCGGGTAGTATGCATACTACCCGACTCCTTGGGCAGTATGCATACCGCCCGGGCAGTTTGCATACTGCCCGGGTAGTATGCATACTGCCCGGGTAGTATGCATACTGCCCACCTTTCATCTCACGGGCAAGATGTTTACTCGGGCAATATGCTGACCGCGGCTCGTGAGACTAGTTAATGCA